ATATTATTTAAAACTTTTTAAAAGTTTAAAATTTTAACATTTCCGGTAAAATTAAGCAGTTAAACTAAAAAACCGAATGAAACGATATATAATTTTAAATTTGGATGCTTATTAAGTTGAGCTTCTTGTTCATTCGGATTTAGATTCATTTTGATCTTATTTATAATATGATTCTGAATCAATATTTAAACATTTTAGCCGATATGGAACGTTGAACACACACCTTTTATCAATCCTCCCACACCTTTTTATCAATTTAAACAGTAAAAAATAATTATATAAATTATAAGACTCCCAAACCGTAATTTTTTGTAATCCCATAAATTTCAGGGCTGGCCCCGGGTAAGTGTAATCTATAAACAAACTTTAAATATCACATGGTTCATTTTGTCCTTTTTATAATTCTGATAAACCTTTAATTGACATGCGTTAGCATATGAACCATATACTCCCTCGGTTCTTGTATAAGTGATGTTTTAAGCTTTTAATTTTGTTCTTAAATAGATGATGTTTTCAATTTTTAATGCAAAATTATTTACTTTTTTATTCGTTTTGACGATTTATATTCGGTAGATTATTTTTTATTAGTTGATTAGATAATAAATGATGTTTTAGTTTAGAAATAAACAAAAATTAAATGATTTCTGAATCTAATTGCATTTTCCTAAAACATCACTTATAAAAGAACAGGGAGTAATTATTTATAAATTTAATCAAGGCTATTTTCTAAACAAAATTTTCATTTAATTCTATAAAAGACAAGATTGACATGTATCAGTTTTGATTGAGATAGAAAACTAAAAAATTTAAAGAGTTCAACAACCAAAATTTTTTTTTTTTTTTTTTGTCAACCACACATTCATTAAAAACAACTCCATGATTGGTTGCCCAATTAGGAGGAGAAGAGTTTACAAAAGTAACATCAGAAAATAAAAGTCTAGAAGAACGGGCTAAGCAGTCCGCCTTAACATTACATAAACGAGAAATAAGGGAAAGCGAGAAGAGGGGAAAGGAAACACGGAGCAAATCCAAATCATCTAGCAGATTAGAGAACGCGGACCATTCTTCAGGAGACTGTACCATCGAGACTAACTCAGAACAATCTGTTTCAAACGCTTGACAATCAATCCTTCTGGAAAGGATGTTCTTCATAGCCCAAATTAAAGCCTCCAACTCCGAGTGAAGGGAGGAGGGGGATCTCCGCAGGCATTATGCACCAAGCTACAAAGTTCGATCAGTTCCTTGAAAACACCACCATCCTATACCCATAGTTGGGTCCGAGGATTTCCAAGATCCATCAATCCGACATCTTATAGATTGGACTGGGCTTTCCATAATATCCGTAGTATTGATATTTTCCATCGGTTCCAATTGAGCTTCTTCCCACATTAATTTTTCACTCAAAGCGTGATTTAAAATATCTGTGGGTTCAGATTGTAATCCTTTGAAAACCTTTCTATTCCTATCTTTCCATATAAACCACAAAATTCAAGCATAACAATAAGTTTTCTCCCCTCCATCTATAGGAGGTGGTTGCCTCCAATATAGATAGTCTAGATTAGAGAATTCCGACCTTAGAGGAAAATTACCTGATGCCATTGGTATATTAGATAATTCCCAGACTTTTTGAGAATGTGAGCACTCAAATAAAGCATGATTAATTGTTTCCTCTGCCATCTCACATCTTTTACATGTAATATCACACCGAATCCCACGATGTGCTAATTTTGAAGTTACTGCTAAGGATCCCGAAGCAATTTGCCATAAGAAATGTTTTATTTTTGGAGGAGCTCTGACTTTCCAAGCTTGTGCTTGTAAAATTTGACAATTTGGGCCCCATTCAATCGTTTCAGTCACCCCTCGAGCAAGCCGATAGCCTGACTTTACTGTATATCTCCCTGAATTTGTATGATGCCAAATAAGCCTATCTGGCTTATGAACTTGACTAATAGTCAGTCCACAAATTAATTGGATATCCACCGGATCCATAAATTCTTGTAGAATATGAATGTGCCATTCTTTAGTAATCGGATTAATTAAATGGTTAACCATAAGATTTGGATGTAATAATTTACCCCTTCCATTTGCTGGGCGTGGATTAACATTTGGAATCCAAGGATCTCGCCAGACCGATAAATTGTATCCTGAACCTAAGGACCATCTTGCTCCCATTTCAACCAGACTTTTGGTCGAAAAAATGCTCTTCCATCCAAACGATGGAGAGTTTGGTTTTTTTGCTTGTAAAGGATGAATATTCCTGAAATATCTACCTTTTAGTACTCGAGCTACTAAGGAGTTCGGAAATTGGATTAATCGCCAGTACTGTTTAGCCAGCATGGCATCATTAAAAGTATCTAGAGAATGAGAGCTCAAACTTCCTTTTTCTTTATCCATACACAATTTCTCCCAAGCAATCCAATGGATCCCTCTATCTCTCCCATTGGAACTCCACCAATAATTAGAGATTGCACTTGTTAACTTGGATGTTAACTCTTGGGGGAGTTTAAAACATGACATAACGTAGGTTGGAAGAGCCAAAGCAACTGACTTGATCATTGTCTCTTTTCCACCTTTTGACAGATATTTAGCTGACCATCCATTAATCCGTTCATTAAGTATTTCCCGGACGTAGTTGAAAATTTTACATTTTGAGCCCCCCAGACTCTCTGGTATACCCAAATAGGTACCCATTCCACCTTCCTTTGAAATTCCAAGGAAATTTTTCAGTTCTTCTTTTTTTTGATTTGGTACACGATGACCAAACACGACCGAAGATTTATTAAAATTTATCTCTTGCCCTGAAGCTTTACCATAGTTTCCAATAATATCCATCACTGTTTTACATTGCTCCACATCTGCTTTACAGAAAAATAGACTATCATCCGCAAAAAGCAAGTGAGATACAGGAGGACTCCTTTTTGCTATTTTTATTCCGGTCAGCCTCTTCTCTCGTTCTGCTTTTTTAATATTAGCAATCAGGACCTCTGTGCATAAAATAAACAAATAAGGGGATAAAGGGTCACCTTGCCTTAAACCTCTTTTGGGAATTATATGTCCTTTAGGTTCCCCGTTTAGTAAAACCTGATACGAAACCGAACTAACACTCCACATAATCCATGAGATCCAATTTGAGTTGAATCCCAAACGTGTCATAACCGCTTCTAAGAACTCCCATTCTATCCTGTCATATGCTTTGCTCATATCTGTTTTAATTGCCAAGAAATCCGTTTTACACATTCTATTCGTCCGTAATCCATGAAACATTTCCTGAGCAAGCATGATATTATCTGTAATAAGTCTACCTGAAACGAAAGCCGATTGTGTTTCAGAGACTAGTCGTGGTAAAATCTTTTTAAGCCGCAAGCAAAGAATTTTCGAAATTATCTTATAACTCACATTACAAAGACTTATTGGCCTAAACTCAGCCATCCTTTGAGGCCTATCGGTTTTTGGAATCAAACAAATGTTTGTTTCATTAATTCTCTAATCAAAACAACCTGTTCGGAAAAAATTTCTAACCAAACCAACCAAATCTGCCTTTAAAGAATGCCAAAATCTTTGATAAAACAAAGCCGTCATACCATCTGGGCCTGGTGTCTTTTCAGGGTGCATAGAAAATAAAGCTTTCCGAACTTCAGTTTCTGTAACCTCTTTGGTTAGCTCCCTATTCATATTTTCTGTAATAATCGGAGACACTTCTTGTACCATCTCAGCAATTCCATCTATATTAGAAACCTTAAAGAGATCTTTAAAGTAATTAGTTGCTATCTCCACCATTCCTGATTCTGATTCCTCCCAAACATTATTTGGACCATATAAACATGATATCTTATTTCTTGCCCTTCTTTTTTTTGTAGAGGCATGAAAGAATTTGGTATTTTTATCCCCCACTTTTAACCAAAAATTCCTACTTTTTTGTTTTCAGTAAATCTCCTCCTCATGGTAGGCTTCTTTTAATTTATTTTCGATTCTTTTTATTTCCTCTTGCGGAATAGAATCGTCATTCTTCGCTTCTTCCAAAGCCAACTTCAAGGAAAAAATATTTGCCTGGCCCGTCGGGATATTATTTTTCCTCCACCATGAAATGGAATTTCTACAATTTTTAATTTTATCCACAAAAACAAGAATTCTGAAATTTTTTGTTCGTTTCAAACCTGAATCGATGGCCTCAATGAGGCCATCCTTCCCAACCCATCTCTTATCAAATCGAAATTGTCGTTTTCTTCTTGCCAAAGATTTTTCACAACTCAATAGAATTGGTCTATGATCAGAACCAATCATGTCCAGATATTCTACTTTTGAATACAGTAACAAATTATGCCAGTCCTCATTTCCCAAAGCCCGATCTAGTCTGCATCTTACAATCTGTTGGTTTCTATTTCCTCTCCATGATAGTTGTTCACCATAGCACGGGAATTCTAACATACCATTATGTCGAATCATTAGATTAAAAGAAACAAAAGAAGCAGCTGATCTTAAATTACCACCTGTCTTTTCATGGTTTCCCGTCAACTCATTAAAATCTCCAATCATTAGCCATGGTTTTTTCCGATTAAGACCCAATTGTGATACTTTTTCCCAGACAATATCACGTTTTGTGGCAACAGGGTCACCATAAACAAACGACATAAATACTATTTGTTTCCCGAAAAAAGCTTTAACATCAATAATCCGATTGCTTTCATAAAGAATTTCTAACTTTATATCATTATTATAAAATAAAGCTAAGCCTCCACTAGCACCGCTAGGATCGACTGAATACAAATTATTAAAACCAAACTGAGACTGAAATTTCTGTAAGTAAGAATAACATTTTTTAGTTTCTGATAAAAAAACAAAATATCCGGCTTGTGCTGTCTCCATAAATCCCTTAAATAATTCTCTGTCAGATCAGCCCCTACTCCCTGACAGTTCCAAAATTTAAGATTGAAAAAAACAAAAAAAAATTAAGATTGAAAAGGAGGGATAATATATAATGGTGTGAGTTATTTTCACAAACCGACAAAAAGTTGTGAAACTACTTTTGAGCACTCGAAGAAGTGCAATGTTTCAAGCTGCGGCCACGGCGGCTCCGGCTATGCCTGTGCACCACGTGGTGTTTCCCCGTTTTTTGAGTCGACAACTTGTCCTGCCTCTCCGAAGCGCAAAGACCTTCAAACCTCTCGCATGTCTCAAATTGAGAGTCAAAGGGTACAAAAAGATCTCTCTAATTTCATTTCATAAGAGCTAAGTGGTCTAATATTTCTTTTTTTTTTGGTTACCGAAACATAGACTAAGCATCAAGATATGCCGATAGTCTATAATGGCCAAGAGGGAGTAATGATCTAATATTTTTGATTCATAATATTTTTGCATTTGGCAGAGTGAATGGACTCCATGAGATTGAACTCAAAGTTCGCGATTATGAATTAGACCAATTTGGTGTTGTGAACAATGCTGTTTATGCAAACTACTGCCAACACGGTTAGTTTAATTCGGATGCAAATGTTGAGCGAGTTGCTATTTTTAAGCTATATCCCATTCTTACCAACTATTGTTTATTAAACATGTTTTTATACTAAGGTCAACACGAGTTTATGGAGAGTATCGGTATCAACTGTGATGAAGTATCCCGTTCTGGTGAAGCCTTGGCAGTTTCTGAGTTGACAATAAAGTTTCTTGCACCTTTACGAGTAATTTTGAACCTGTTTTCCAATAATCTTTGTCACATTTTATAAGATCAATGTTTTGTATTTTTTATTCGATTTCTTTTCCACAGAGTGGATGCAAAGTTTGTGGTGAAAACGAGGATATCGGGGACATCCGTGGCACGCATTTACTATGAACAGTTCAGCTTTAAACTTCCAAATCAAGAGGTTATATTTTTGCTCTCAAGCCTTTAATTTGTGTTGGTTTTATTTGTGTTCTGATTCGGATCCACTTTGTTTATCATTAACAAAGCAGCCTATTTTGGAGGCAAAAGGAATGGTTGTGTGGCTTGATGACAAGTACCGTCCTGTTCGTATCCCGTCTTACATACGCTCTAAGTTCAGTCACTTCCAACGCCAACATGTTTTTGATTGATCATGCACTCTTGGGCTCGACAAAACATTTTTTATCTATTGCGAAAAAATCTAGACATATGTAATGATACAGAGAAAAAACAAACACTAAAAACTCAATATCCATTAGTAATCAAAACGAAACAAATTACATATATTTAAGAAGGATATCTATGTATAAAATTTATCGCCATATTACATAAACGTATTAAAATTTCACTAACCATGAAAAAGAAAGTAATTTCTTATGAATACCGCTCTTATATTTGTTGAGTTCTGAAAATTTTCATATATTTTAATTATTAAAAAAAACTTACGGTATAGTACGAATATCCAAAATTTTTAATGGAGATCCGGTTAGTTGCGGAGCAAAAATGGATAGCAAAATGGCTGATCCGGACAAAGCATAATGAATCATAAAGACCATAAAAGTTCAGAATATGTATTCTGTTTTCACCCTACCGCATTCTTACTATTTATGTACATATTGTAAGAGGGATGTTTTTCCTCATCATACTATGTATTTAAGCTGTAAGGAAAAAAAAAATAGTTGTGGTTTTTTGTGGTTTTTCTTGTGAATAGAATCATCAATTTGTTGGCATTACTTAATTAAGAATTCGTAATCAAGAGGACATTTTGGGCGAGTAACTGAGAAGATAAAGAAGATAACAGAAAACATTATCAAACAGAAAAAAGTAATAAATAGAAAAAATAGAGAACTAATAATATATATATATATATATATATATTTAAATCATTAATAAAAAAACAACTACACGCAAACAAAAATCGAATCTGATCTAGAACAAAAGTTGTACAAAATATATAACTAAATGACATATTTAGAAGCTTAATTGTGAAGAGGTGGTGATCAGATGTTTTCTTGATTTGGTGAGTCTTTAGGTGTAACCAAAACAACAACTTTCAGCCCAACCGCACAAAGAATAGGTTTATAGCTAATAAAGTAATGGAAGCCGAGGTGGGTGAGTTTGAATACATCGTGACCTATTTTGTAAACGACCAATGAATAAGATGTGTTTTGTAGGAGCTCAAGACCACTAACCTTTACAACATTGTCTCCATCCTAGTTGTATTGGAAGAGAAGACAGTCTCCAACTCCGAAGTGTTTGTTCTCATACCACATGGGGTCTGCCTTCGTCGTCCATCCATTGGAGTCTCCAACTTTAAAAACATTCTCATTGATGAGAATATCGCTTGGCGTGGGAGTGCTAGGATGATGTGAAGGATCCCAAAAAATAAATGTCATTCTCTTTTATGTTAGCTCGACCCTTCAATTAAAGCTAACAAAATTTTGACCTTATTAGACTAGTTCTAGAGTTTATAAACTTAAATATTTACCGACGGACTACAATTAACATCATCTCTTATAACCAAGAAATGAACATTTGGAACTCGAAAGTAGAAGAGATTATAGTGATGTTAAAACAGGTTTTAGGCTCGTGGGCCTAAACGGGACTAACATGGTATTTTTGGCTCGTATTTCATTTAACAACATGTATATAAACAGTTTTAAAAGGGCAGGACAGTTTAGACTCATTAGCTAAATGGGTTTTGAAAATAATTAACGGATAGCACTGGTTAATATCCATTTTGTGTTCGTTTAGTCAAAACAACATTTAATTTTACCCAAACTCATCGCTTTGTAAAATGATTATTGCCTCCCGACCCAGACACGACAACACACTGATTTTGAGAAGAAAAAATAATTGTCAGCTACAAAATAATATAGCTCATTACATAATTATATATTTATAGTAAATTAAGTATCAATATATACATTAATAAGTAAAGTTTTATGATAACATGCAGAAACAAATATATAAATTATATGACCAACATCATAGTCTTTCGATTTAACCTGATATTCCTCTTGGATGATGTGTTATTCGTCAAGGATGTGCTTTGGCATACAATTGAATTCGTTATATATATAGGCTAATTTGGTTTGCCAATAAAACTGGTTAAAATCTATTTTTTTCAAGAGGACTATAATTTGTTTATTTGAAATATAAATTTTTGTTTCATACAAAGAAAATATATTAAAATGACTTTGTTATTAATTCTAGTGACATTAATTCCTTGTAATTTCTATAAAACTCTAGGTCTATTATACTCTCAAAGTTACTTACTAAATAATATTACTAGGTTCCTACCCAAAAAAAAAATATATATCTTATATAATATGAGAAGGTTTTTTTCTAACTTTTCCTACCATTTTTTTCTAACTTTTCCTACCATTGCGACATTTGGCACTCTCTTTTGGTGACATGTGTCCTCATTCATTTCATTAATGTTTGTTTTAATTTATTTAAAATCCTTAGTTTTAAAAGTTTGTACCTACAATTTAATTCCAAAAAGATATTTCTTTTATCCTATTGATACATTTGACATGTATTTAAGTTGAAATTTGTATCTAATTTGTTTTGCCAAAATTATTATCTACTTAATCACCACTTATTCATCTGATTCAAAATTATGGATCAGTAAAATTTTAACTTCCAAAATTATTATCTACTTAATCACCACTTATTCATCTGATTCAAAATTATGGATCAGTAAAATTTTAACTTCACGAAAAAGGTTTTTTTCTAACTTTTCCTACCATTGCGACATTTGGCACTCTCTTTTGGTGACATGTGTCCTCATTCATTTCATTAATGTTTGTTTTAATTTATTTAAAATCCTTAGTTTTAAAAGTTTGTACCTACAATTTAATTCCAAAAAGATATTTCTTTTATCCTATTGATACATTTGACATGTATTTAAGTTGAAATTTGTATCTAATTTGTTTTGCCAAAATTATTATCTACTTAATCACCACTTATTCATTTGATTCAAAATTATGGATCAGTAAAATTTTAACTTCCAAAATTATTATCTACTTAATCACCACTTATTCATCTGATTCAAAATTATGGATCAGTAAAATTTTAACTTCACGAAATATTAGTACATTTTTAAAACTTCTCATAATATTAGTACATTTGGCATCTATTTTTAAATTTAATTGTTTTCTTCATTTTTCTATCTTACATAATATTTTCATATCTCCATAAAATACATTTCTTCCAAAAAGATATTTCTCTTATCCTATTGATACATTTGACATGTATTTAAGTTGAAATTTGTATCTAATTTGTTTTGCCAAAATTATTATCTACTTAATCACCACTTATTCATCTGATTCAAAATTATGGATCAGTAAAATTTTAACTTCCAAAATTATTATCTACTTAATCACCACTTATTCATCTGATTCAAAATTATGGATCAGTAAAATTTTAACTTCACGAAATATTAGTACATTTTTAAAACTTCTCATAATATTAGTACATTTGGCATCTATTTTTAAATTTAATTATTTTCTTCATTTTTCTATCTTACATAATATTTTCATATCTCCATAAAATACATTTCTAATCTTTTCTAATTTGTCTCTTTTTTCTTCTTCTTTCCAATCTTACTTTTTTATAACACTAATTTATTCTCAAATGTTACAACTCCAAGTTGGAGTATTTATTTACAATTTTTATTACACAATACATTTAATGTATTTATATGAGAAGGTTTTCTTCTAACTTTTCCTACCATTGCGACATTTGGCACTCTCTTTTGGTGACATGTGTCCTCATTCATTTCATTAATCTTTGTTTTAATTTATTTAAAATCCTTAGTTTTTAAAGTTTGTACCTACAATTTAATTCCAAAAAGATATTTCTCTTATCCTATTGATACATTTGACATGTATTTAAGTTGAAATTTGTATCTAATTTGTTTTGCCAAAATTATTATCTACTTAATCACCACTTATTCATCTGATTCAAAATTATGGATCAGTAAAATTTTAACTTCACGAAATATTAGTACATTTTTAAAACTTCTCATAATATTAGTACATTTGGCATCTATTTTTAAATTTAATTGTTTTCCTCATTTTTCTATCTTACATAATATTTTCATATCTCCATAAAATACATTTCTAATCTTTTCTAATTTGTCTCTTTTTTTTTCTTCTTTCCAATCTTACTTTTTTATAACACCAATTTATTCTCAAATGTTACAACTCCAAGTTGGAGTATTTATTTACAATTTTTATTACACAATACATTTAATGTATTTATATAGTATAATATAATTTACAGGAATTATTAAATTTAATATGTCATCCCATACAGTAAAACCTCTATAAATTAATACTCTATAAATTAATAACCTCTCTCAATTAATAAATTCTTTCGGTTCCGAGTTAGGACAAGTGTAAAATATGACATAAATCGATAAATTAATAAGATAATAAAATTTTCCGAGTTGGTCCCAACATTATTAATTTATAGAGGTTTTACTGTATATTGTTTTATAAATATCTCAGTGAATGAAATTCTAACTTATGTAACAGTCAATATAATTTTAATAAAGAAATATAGTAACGTGCATTATATTAATGTATTACTCCATGTGTTACGCCTTCTCTCAAAATAAATGTTTGCGACGAGTTTTCTTCTCCAGTAACGCTTTTCATGTGGCTTCTGATACCGAAATATATTAGTTTTTTTTTTTTTGTTCTGGAATTAGTTACCCAAAGTAAAACCCACAAATGAACTTATTAAAACATATGTAACGTCAAATAACTCTAAATTGATGCATTAGGCTAACAGATAACCACAATAACTCCAATTAATTCAAAACATTAAATCTAATTAATTTTTGAGTGTAAATTAATACTCTAAATATTGACTCCAATTAATCTACTTCTATATAGTACCCACATGTGAAGCTAAAAAAACTATTGTAGAGTTTTTGCTTTTTCCGGTCCATTCTTTTATTTTTTATTGACTTTTAGTTGCTTTCTCTTTATTTCAGGGTATCGTTCACATAGTAAAAATATCTAAAAAAGTTTTCTCATTTGGTGTTCAAGTTAGGTTTGTGATTTCGTATGGTGTTCAAGTTAGGTTCACCAACACCATTAGTTCTACATAAAAGTGTTCTGTTTTTTTTAAAGTTCTTTTTTTAATTGTTTCTCTATTTTTCAACTCACCAATAAGATTTATATACATACATTAAGAAAATTTATATCTATTATTATGGTCAGTTAAAGTGTCATTATAAATTTAAGTATTTAGATAAATGGCATTACATTATATTTATTACTTTTTTTACTCTTATGATCTATATGTATTCACAAAATTTGAAAACCATAAGTTTGTTAAAAAATTTATGATATAAATTGAAAAACCATTTATGTAATTATTCTCAATATCACTTATCAAAAAGTTAAGCGTTTGTTTTCAAATTTATGAATACGTAAAGCTGTTTCAAGATGATTTTGTTCTTGAATACTTAAAACTCATGGGATCATGAGTCATTTTTTATTTGATAGTTTATGCCATTCTTTATTTCTTTTACATAATTACTCAACGTTTGAGAGGGATCGACGTTTGAGTTTCATATATCTCAAGTAAATAGTTTTTTTATTTTTAATATTGTATAACATTTGACTTGATTATGTTTTGAATTCAATTTTTTTTAGTCAATCATACAAATTAAGTAAGAAATAAAGATCATATGAAAGAATATAAAATTTGTATTTATTTTTATCAAAGTTTCCATAAAACTAACCCAATGAAATTCAACCAAAAAATTTAAAAACTTCCACCAAAGGTTTTTTTTTAATCTATTCTCATGGGATTTTTGAAAAGAATTATGTTTGCTAAGAGTAATTGCATAGAATATCATAATTGACTAATTCAGTCAAAACCTAACATGCCATTAAAGTATTTAGATAAACGGCATTACATTATATTTATTAAATTTGTGTAGTCTTATGACCTATATATATACAAAGTTTATAAAATGGCATATTTTTGTTTTCAAACAATTGAATATATATATATATATATATATATATATATATATATATATATATATCAAAACTGAACTAAACTTTTTATTATATCATCTGAAGTCATTTTCCTAAATTAAATATGATTATAATTAAGTGTGACATATATATTTGTTTTTTGTGCATAGGCTGATTCAATTTAACTTAGGATTGGGCCAGACCCATTACAAGAGAAACCAGAAATTGTTTTGCCAATGAATCGGCATCTAAGTTCTGCAAACGGGGAATGAAACTAAACGAAATAACATCAAAGGTAGAAGATAAATTCAGGATATCGAAAAGAATCCCATGAAGCTCCTTGTGTTGAAGCTCCGATTTTAAAGCTTTGACTAGCTGTGCTGAGTCGGAAGCGAGA